CGCGTAAAGCCCTATGTTACAGAAAAGCTATAGTAGCTAGCCACTCTCTTATCTCCAAATTTCTTTCTTTCTTTCAAAAGGACTGGATCAGGGAAACAAAACTGTAGTGTAAAATTTGAGCAGAACATATGCATATCAAAATTCGTTTTTATTTAAAATAAAAGAAGCTGCTTTTCTGCATTTGTAAGATGGAAGAAAGGAATGGATGCAATGTTAAAACCAACAAAATTTGTAAAAATGGGCTTCTCTTTAGGGGGGAAAAAAATCAGCACCTGCTGTTGCCTGAAGGATAAGGGCACTATAATCCACCTCTGTATAGAGTCAGTGTTCATATCACTCACTGTGAAATGTGTGGAAATCTATGGTTCTCTTTTATAAGTTATTTAAAATCTGGATAACAGAAACTCAGACTGAATGTACATCACAGATTAAAAAAGACATGAACAAGCCCAAAAGTAGGCCAGTGTGCTTAATGACCAGAGTTTTAAAAAAAGAACATTTCTAAAAGGCAAAAAAAATCTCCTATAACAGAATGCTGTCCAAACAGAGAGTATAAAAAAGAGGAAACACTCTGGCAAAGCAAAGGTAAATTGACAATAAATCAAATTAACTAACCAAATAAATTGTAAGCAAAGTATTGCAAAAACATTAAGGCAAATATTTAATCTTTAATAACCTTTGAACTACAGAGCTGGCAGGGACTCTATGGATCATCAAATCCTGCCCCTGGCTAGGAGGCACAGTGGGGAATCGAACTCCGAACTTCTGACTCCACATCCAGACACCTAAACCACTCAGCTATCCAGCAACTATACAAAGCATTTCTTTAAATAAACCAGAAACAGAAAAAAAAGAGAGGAAGGAGACAGCATGTTACATGACACTGGTACAAAAGAATTAAAGAGCTATGGGAGACTGCATAAATTATCTGCATAAGTCTTCAATGTACCAGGTATCAGACATGGTTCCCCAGCAGCCTGGTTGGGACATAATAATAAACCATGGCTTAAATGACATGCCTGAGGCTTGAGATTACCTCCTGTTTCCTTCACCTCCTCTGGCAAGGCAGTGAGGAAGATTTTGGAAGTCTCCCTCCCTCTCTTTAAATTTTAAATTTTATCTTGGTTTAGCAGTAGGTAATGAATCCCAAATCATGTTAATCTTAACTGTGGTTTACTGAAACAAGCTGACTTCCTAAACCAACATTTAGAGAGACTGCTGAATCACAATTAGTCAGAAATAAAAGTGAAGCATTTCTGCTTTAGAAATACTCAGCTATAAATGCTCGACTATTCAACAAACAGCAACAGAGCATGGGCAGAGTTCCTACTCCAGTCCTCTGAAGATGCCGGCCACAGAGGCTGGCAAAATGTCAGGAATAACAACCTTCAGAATACGGCCAAAGAGCCCAAAAACCCACAACAACCATCATTTCTGCTTTTCTCCTCTCTTGTGAATCAAATTATAAAGAGAGTTGTTGGATTTGCTTCTTGGAAACTTGCACCAAAATGTACAGAAAAAGCAGCCAGAAAGAAGACCCACCAGGGAGACTCCTTCTCCATGCCTGACAAGAGACTGATTGGTAACTCTGATGTACAATTTTGAATGGGACGTGGAGAGAAATCTTTATTATTACTTTATTTACATATCACCACAACATGCTGGGAAACCATGTGCTTTTCTTTCACCACCAAGAGTCCATCGTCTGAAGAGGAAGATGTAGGACTCCCTGAAGGAAGCAGGCATCATGGCTTCAGGGAATTGCCTTGCCTTATATGCATCTTTTGGAATAGAAATACAGTTGTGCCTCGCTTTAAGATTGCCCCACATTATGATGAAACCGCATTACGATGATCTTTTTGCGATCACAAAAGATGGTCTGAACAGGGGTTTTTCGCTTTGTGATGATCGGTTCCCTGCTTCAGGTACAGATTCTTCACAGAACGATGATTTTCGGACAGCTGATCAGCGGTTTCAAAATGGCCACCGGGTAAAAAAAATGACTCCCCACTGTTTTCTGGGACGGATTCCTCGCTTTACAGGCACCGAAAATGGCCGCCCTATGGAGGATCTTTGCTGGACGGTGAGTTTCCAGCCCATTGGAATGCACTGACGGGGTTTCAATGCGTTTCAATGGGCTTTTTATTTTCGCATTACGACGTTTTCGTTCTACAGCGATTTTGCTGGAACGAATTAACGTCGTAATATGAGGCACCACTGTGCTAAGGTTCAGCTAGGGTCACCTGACTCTTTTCGAGACAGGAGACATGGACCTCACCTCTCCTCATTTGCCTGCTCTGGATTTTTGAGTCCATGCTGGTTTACTCAGTGGTTTAGAGGTCTGGCTGGCTGGGAGTTCGATTCCCCACTGGACCTACCTGACAAGGGCTGGATTTGCTGATCCATAGGGTCCCTTCCAGCTCTGCAGTTCTAAGATGATGATGATGCAGAAAATATTGTTCATTGGCTAGTCAAACAGAAGTCATTAACTGTTGTATACTTGAGCTGCAAGGGTGTACTACAAAACATTCAGTTCTAAATTCTGAACTCTAAATTTAACAGCTAAAATCCAAGTTCTGATTTAATTGCGATCAAGCCATATAAGATCAGCCATACATAGAGCATACAAAAGTTACCGAACCAAGGTCCATCCTGAATGAGGAACTTTTGAGACTTATTTTATTTTTTTTAAAAAAAACAAGTTGATGGTAGACAGCTGTTGCCATCCAGATCTTTGAGACTACAGTGGCCATTAATTGCAACCAGAAAGGCCAATGGTCAAATAGGAATCTGTAATCCAAAACATCTACTCATGCACAGACAGCATGAGCAAAATTCTCCCAAATTTCTGCAGAAAAGTCAATGCATCAGCAGTTTAAATCCGCACCTATTTTCCTTCATTTACAATCCACTCCTGTCCCATAACGTGCCATGACCTCCCTCCCCAGTCACCCAGAAAAGCACTCTGAAAGTAATGGAAATAGCAGTAGCTTTGCTTGTCCTGTAATTCTGAAAATCCATTGTGCATTTATGAGTTTTAGATGGTTTTAAATTACAAGGTTTAAAAGGTTGGACGTTTTTTAAAAAGTCTAAATGTCAGTTGCTGTTTTTCCAAGGGCAGTTCAGATTTCTACTTGATGTCCCAGGTATGATTTAAACCTTACGGGTGGATCTCTTCCCCTGAAAACAAAAATGGCCACCAAATTGCCCTAAAGCCCAGGAAGCTTTAGCAGCTGAAGGAAAAAGAAAATGTGGATTTATAGCTTCCGTGTTCATCCTTTTTGACATATTCATCATTAGCCAACTTGGCACTTGAGTTGCACAGGCCAAGGGATATCTCTGGTGAAAAACAGAAATGATTTAATGGTTGCCCCGCATTATGATGAAACAGCATTATGACGATCTTTAATGGTTGCCCCGCATTATGACGAAACAGCATTATGACAATCTTTAATGGTTGCCCCGCATTACAACGAAACCGCATTACGACGATCTTTTTGCGATCACAAAAGATGGTCTGAATAGGGGTTTTGAAAGAAATGATTTAGTTTTTCCTACTTTGTCTCACAAGGGAAGTCGGCTGTTCCATCATCTCTGCTGAGTGGCCGGTTACCTCTGGTGTCCCAGAACTCCTAGCTTAGTTACCCAAACTGTTTCCTTGCTTGTTGGTTATGGCAAGAATGGTAATTTTCAAAACTGGTGCCAGAGCTCGGATTTCGCTCCCCCCCCGCCACTGAATCCATTTATCCTCATACCCTATGTTTGTTAGACTGTAAGACTGAGGAGAAGTTTGCCTTATTGTTCTTCTTTGTAAGCTGCTCCAGGATGATTTAAAACAAAAACTGTGTAACATGCAATAGAAATACACAGAGAGAATGTGAATTACATTACCTTTCAAGACTGAGCCAAGACATTTTGTAGTTTGAAACAAAGCATACAATTGCAACCCTCATTCATCATACAAAACCAGATGTAGTAGTTGAACCTTACTTAAATCCGGCAGAGGGATTTGGTATTCACTCCACACTGAGGCAACAGATTAGCTCAGGGGTGCAGGACGCCCCAAAAAACTGTACCCTAACAGAGAGGAATAACCAGCGATTCAGGAAGTCTTACTCTCCCAAATAGCAGGGCCGGCCATGTTCTCTTTGAAAGAATATTGAAAGACTCCCTTGACTGTATGGGCCACTGGTTCTAGCGAGGTCAGCTGGCAGAAAGGCAGAGGAGAACTGAGGGAGAACCCAAATCCTTCTCTGCTTATGCCCACTGACTAAGAGTGAAAAAGCAATGTAATGTTTCCTGACAGAACAGGATTGGGCCCAATCCCTTCCACAAAACCCATCAGTACAGTACCAATACACTCACTGTGGGAGTAGCTGCTTCATTTCTGGTCTTCCTTAGCACAGGAAAACATTGTGTTTTCCGCTCAATTCACTTCTCCTCTCTGTACCTCATTCCTTCATATTGCCAGCCCCTTGTCCAGCTTGAATGAATAAAATACTTTAAATAGGTTGGAACAGTAGTTCCCAACCTTGGGCAACCAAGTTTTTTTTTACTGCAACTCCCAGAAACCTTGGCCAGCAGATCTAAGAACACCAAGGTTGGGATCCACTGGGTTAGAAGAACAGACAGCACATTTTTGGTTTAGAACGACTGGAAAAACTTTTTTTAGAGTTACATTTTTTTCAGAATTCTCCAGCAAACATGGCCAGTAGCAAGGCTAGCTGGTGGATTCTGGGACTTCATTTCACAAATAATGTTGCCTGAGGAACAGCAGTCGGATAGGATCAGATCTACTTGAAGGCAGTTCTGACAATCTTTGTCTTTTGGTTTGTTTTTTTCCCCCATTATAAACTTATTTTCCTTGCAGAAATGAAAGTGTAGCAATTATACACATCAGATTTATACGCTGCTTTAAAAAAAGCTTTTAGTGATAACTTTTTTTAAAAAAAAACAACAACCAATGGTCTCCTTCAACATAGTCACAACAAAGAACACGATTCTGATTAAAGAAAGAACTCTGTTTAATAGGGTTTTTTGATCATTAAAAAAGTTTAAACCTGCATAGCAATCATTTCAAAAAATAATTATTTAATGTTCCATAATGAAACTGTACACAACCTAGTCTTTGAGCGACCTGCAGCCCCATGAGGTGGTTTTGAAGCAGTCCAGTGCACTGAGAATCCCTTTGGAGGCCAGCGCCAGTTGACTTTTCCATTGGCATGGTGTGAAGTTGTGTGTGTGTGTGTGTGTGTCTTTGTTCATTCTTGGTACAGTTCTGCTCTAAGAGTCAGTGGGATCTTCACTGGGTGTTTGCGAACAGTCCGTCTCCCACTCTCTCTCCCCTCCCTCCTGCCTGCCCTCCCTCCCTCCTCAGGGCTCCTCAGAGTCGTTCAATATCTCGGTATTTCTTCCTCAGGATGGAGACTTGGTCTTTGAAGAGCACGGGATCAAGCCTCATCTGAGAATGGATCAGGGGCATATAGCCAAACCAGCTGGCAAAAGTGTTCATGCAGCTCTGCCTCTGAGCAAAGTGGTCTGGGTCAGCCCACCGAGAAGCCCGAGAAGTCTAGCAGAGAGAACGAGAGAGAACAAAGCAAAGCAATGAGTTACAAACAAGGCTTCAATATCCTGTCAATTCATTTACAGGCTGGGAAACTGTGTCTCCTCGTGGATATGGTTAAACTGCAATACTGATGACCCATCACTTCTGATCAGTGGTTATACCAGCTTGCAACAATGGGAATTAAGAGTCCTAACACATGCTGGAAGTCCTAGGATTAACCCCAAGCTTGGAAAAGTTACTTCTTAAAATTACTACTCCAGCATGACCATTTCTGCCTTCTTCCCCTCCTGCTGTCCACTCTGTTCCTCTACTTGCTGAGCCAATGCCCTGGTCCATGATGGGGAAGCTGAGATGACCGGGGAGGGAACATTCCACATAAGATGTGGCTGCCTCAGTTGTTACCACATGAGGACAATCTAAAATTACACAGCTGTTGGATCTGGAAGACCTCAGCTAGCTTGTATGGACATCATCTAAAATGAAAACAGGCACCCATAGCCTTCCATGTTAAAATCTTATTATCTCTCTACGGTGTCTACAGTGACTGGGGCTGATGGGAATTGTAGGCCAAAGACCAAAAAAATAAAATAAAATACCAACGTATACCCAACAAAACAAAAACAACAAAAAAAAACCTTGAGGGTTTTACCTGCAACTCTTGATCTAAGATAACATGAGTTTGGCTTGGATTTATTGTTTGTCCATATATAAGTTTAATATAGATTAGGCACACAACCCATCATCTGTGGCTCCAAGGCTGGAGTCTCCATAAAGTCCCTCAATGACCCTCTACATTGAAAAGGTTATCTGAAAATTGGGGCTTCAACTCCTGGTTATTTTTGGGGGGTGGGTGGGTTAGGCAGGGTCAGAGTTCTCCAATATGAAAAATCAAAACAGGAATTGGCCATCTAATGACTTTCCATTCTGATTTGAGGAGCAATTTTTGGTTAATTGGGCTTATTCCGGTACTGGTGCTGCCTGCAGTTTCCACTTATTTAGGGAAAGCTAGGCCTGCCAAAGTTGTCCACTTCTGGCATACAGTGATCACTAGGCTATATCACCCTCTTCCAATCTTGTGCTCTCCAAATGTTTTGGAGTATACGTCTCACCAACTCCAACCAGCAAGGATCAGGGATATTGGGAGTTGTAGTACATGTGGAAATCAGTGGTTTTGGGGGGACTCTATAGAAGCAATAGCATAAAGTGTCTTTAACCAGGTAAAAGCTCATGTCATACTGTATGATCTTTTTAATATCTCTCCACCCTGAGCCACAGGAATGGATCTACATTTAGTATTAGTTTGCCTTATTTTATTGAATACAATAAAAGCTGCCTTGTTTTGCTGATAGGGCATATTTTGCATTTTCCTTCAGCAGGTCAGTAAAAAAAATCACTCAATTAGAATGCATGAATCACTCGTTCCGTAGAAATGGTTGCCAGCTTACATCTGGTGAACAGAAAGAGCTATTCTTTCCAAAACTTCGTGACTCTTTAAGATATAAATACATTTTCTGTGTGAAAAAATGCCTTCTCTTCTCCAGCATAGGACACTCTGAATAAAGATTTAAATCAATTTAACTTCTGTCAGTCTGAATTCTATGCTTTGTGAAACAGCCCCAGAGAAGGTTGAGGACCGGACAGCAAGTTCAGCAAACCCAGGGATTTCCCACTTGTGGGATCCCCTGGAGATGGCACGGCCCATGAACAATGCAGAAACATGAAAAAAACAATCCCTAAACGAAATCAGAAGTGGCCAGGAAAAAAAGGGGGGTAGAATCCTACTCTCTACCAACAGTGAAACACATGTGTTAGTCTACTTATGTTGCTACCTGTCTGTCACGTTCACCTGCATCCTTCAAGTTGAGAAAATGATCGTGTGCCTCTTCACACCACAGATGGTGAGCAAGAGGGGAAAACCTCTTGTGCAATTGCCCTGACACGTGCAATTTTCACCAATAAGCCTTGGCCTTAGAAAAATGAGTAATTTTTTTTTCATTAAAAATCACAAGGACTGGGTGAGTTGCAGTCTACAGTGGGGTCTTGACTTGAGAACTTAATCCGTATTGGAAGGCGGTTCTCAAGTCAAAAAGTCTGTAAGTCAAGTCTCCATTGACCTACAGTGCATTGAAAACAGATTAATCCCATAACAGGCCGTTTTTGTTCCATTTTGGTTTTTTTCTGGTCTGTAAGTCAAATCTCAGTCTGCAAGTCAAACCTAAATTTTGTGGCCAGAGAAGTCTGTAACTCAAAAAGTCTGTAAGTCAAGCCGTCTGTAAGTCAAGGGTCCACTGTATTTAAAGCAGACCTGGGCAAAGCACGGCCCAAGGGCCACATACGGCCCACGAGCTGCTCCTGTCTGGCCCGCGAACAGTTTTGAATATCAAAACCATTTATAGCTTTTTGTCTAGACTTGATCAGTTGCTTATCTTTAACATACCACAAAAAACCTCTTTAGTATTTGTGAAGATTAACAAAATTAATTGCCCACCCCTGATTTAAAGAGTAAACTGCCCCTTCACCCCTTCTGGAAGTTTCTGGGAATAACAATTCACCTCCCATACCTCCTCTGGCTGGAAAATTAATTTCCGGCAAGGGGGAGGGGACTGGGGATCTGGTAGCTTCAGCAAATTTGTTCTCCTAAAAGGAACACCTCCTACTGTCTAGGGCAGAGGTGTCAAACTCAATTTCATCTTGGGCTGCAACGGCATTATGGTTGCCCTCAAAGGGCCAGTTGTATCTGTAGGACTATATAAATGTAAGAATGAGAGTGGGCAATAGTGAGGACTACTTTTCCCAAGGTGCTGTACGCTGCCCAAAGTGAGGACTACATTTCCCAAGGTGCTCTACGCTGCCCAAATGGCTGCACTTTCTGACTCTTCGCTTCTTGGATTGCTGGGATTAGAAGTCCCACTGAATGGATTCCCGGCATCCTCGTGGAGCATTATGGGTGACCGAGTGAGCACCTACATATTGTAGGCATCACTGCGAGGGCCACATGAAATGGCCCAGCAGGCCTGATTCAGCCCGTGAGCCTTGAGTTTGACACATGTGGTCTAGTGCAGTGGTCCCCAACCTTGGGCATCCAGATGTTCTTGGACTACAACTCCCAGAAGCCTTCACCACCACCTCTGCTGGCCAGGATTTCTGGGAGTTGAAGTCCAAGAACATCTGGAGGCCCAAGGTTGGGGACCACTGGTCTAGAAAATCAGTCTGTTATGAACTACCCAAGCCTAACAAAAAGCAACAAATTTGTCTCCATGATCCTGGTAGGCATGGGGCATTTTGGGTGATTTTATTTCTTTAGGAGTGAATGTCATGGGGATGTAGGGTTTGGGGGCTTAGCCATCGGTGTGAACAAAGGCACAAAGGATGACACTGGTATGTCTTCAGCAAAAAGGATCCATGTGAGGAATCCCCCAGCAAGTCTCAACTGTCTTAAAAGCGAACACTTTCTAAAACAGTGAAACATGAAAAAATATTAATGCTTGTTCAATTAGAAATCTGGTTTAATTAGATCCCAGACAAAAGACAGATCAATGCTCCTGGTTCCTTTCATTTGCTTTTTAAATAGAAAGAATCAGTGATGGCTTATCTGTGAACAGCACCCTTCAAATTCAGTTGCCCGAAAAAGGAATTGATGTTATGGTGACGCATTGCCTTCCCACAATTTAACACAAGGCTTGAAATAAGAGGGGGACTATTAAAAAGCTGTGAAACTCTTATTTTAATTTTCTTATGGGAAATGATTTGAAATAATCATTTCTAAAATAGAAAACCACATCTGTTGAGATATATGTTGAGAACAGCCCTCTTAAGCTCATGACGATGGCAAGTTATTTCTGAATAGTATGATGGTTTCGTATTTGTTAAATTAATTCATTTGCAGGTTGTTTAAAAAAAATAAAATACAAAGGTGTTGGGATTTTATTTTAGATTTATAAACAGCTTCCCACTTTTGACAGTAAAGTAGTTGAGTAGGCAGGAAAGACTTTGCCAGATGGAAGAGAAATAGTTCAGAGTAGTTTGTAGTTTTAGGATTCACATTCGTAATGGGTATTTGGTTAGTTAACAACAACAACAGCAAAAACTTTACTGAAAAAAAAGTTAAAGTATAGTTTGGATAGATACCTGTCCCATCATAGTTTCCTTATACTGTTTTTTCTGTGTTACTTTGATTGGAGGCAATTTTGTCACAGCTGACACCAAGAAGTTCATCAAAATGTCCTCACAATTGGCCAGTTGGTCCACCATATTCTTCAAGCTGGCAGGCAAGTAGTGAGTGTACAGGTAGTGATAATATCTGCAGGAAAAGAAAAGAAAAGCCAATGAAGTGCTACCAGTGAGAATCCAGCTCTGCAACGCAATGTAAACTTACTTGGGAGGAAACCAGATGAACTCAACACGACTATTTCTTTAAATAAATGTCATTAGAAATGCACAGCCTTCATACTGACCAGAGAATTCCAGTCAAGTCTTTTTCCAAGCTCTCAGGCAGAATTGACTCCGTAACTTTTGGAAAGAAAACTAGTAATTTCTGATTTTTTTTTCTTAAACAGGGCTGATTCCTTAATGGCTCAGCAAGCAGTAATAGCGTGGAAGGTACAGAATGTCCCTGTGGGAGAGTCAGTACCCCAGGATGAACATAAAGATGTGAAGAGTAGGTCATCATGGGAAATCAGTAGCAAAATTTGGTTGCAGCAACAAAAATGAAAAATGGCATGACCCTTCTTTAAAGGGAAGGCTTGCCTGGTTCACCGAAATATCAGTGGACTTATATCAGGAGCAGACTGTATGGTTGTAAAGGTAAAGGTTCCCCTTGACAATTTGTCCAGTTGTGTCCGACTCTAGGGCGCGGTACTTGTCCCCGTTTCCAAGCCAAAGAGCCAGCGTTTGTCCGAAGACAATATTCCGTGGTCATGTGGCTAGCGCGACTAGACACGGAACGCCATTACCTTCCCACTGAGGTGGTACCTATTTATCTACTTGCACTGACATGCTTTCGAACCGCTAGGTTGGCGGGAGCTGGGACAAGCGACGGGAGCTCACTCCATCACATGGATTTGATCTTACAACTGCATGTCTTCTGACCTTGCAGCACAGAGGCTTCTGCGGTTTAACTCGCAGTGCCACCACGTCCATGTAAGGTTGTACATTCCCTCTATTCTTCAGGAGCATATATGCACTATACAGTTACAGCACTTTGATAATTCTTTAAATGTCATGGGCCCATCCAAGAAGAGCTGCAATTTAGAGTTTCATGAGAGAATTACCTGCTAAAGAACTGCAAAGTACTTGCCTCATCTATGGCATAGAATTCTATATAGTTCACCAAACTACAATTCCAAAGAATCCATAAGATGGAGTCATAGCCATCCAAAATGGATACAAGCTGATAAAACTGTTTAATTTAGATAGACATGTCTACTCAAAGTGGTGCAGTGGATAGAGTAATGAGTGATTCCCCAGATCTACCATGGAAACTAACTTGAGTGTGGAACTGGTAAAAGTACTTCTTAAATGCCCCACTTACCTTGAAAACTCTATTAGGGTTGCTATAAATCAGTTCTGACTTGATTAGAACTGTGTGTGAAACAGCAACCTTCTATCCCATGATTTTGATCCCTGGAAGATCAAACTTTTGCGTTACGCTGGGAGCGACAGAAGCAGGACCGTCCCTAGTTTCTTATGTGGTTTTTACCAGGTGGAGAATCAGAATGAATCAAAGTTTATCATGTGGAGAAACAACATGGAGAGCGGCTCACTTTGAAACCTCTTATCAAACTTTTGGTAAATAAATACAGTGGGGTCTTGACTTGAGAACTTAATCCATATTGGAAGGCGGTTCTCAAGTCAAAAAGTCTGTAGGTCAAGTCTCCATTGACCTACAGTGCATTGAAAACCGATTAATCCCGTAACAGGCCGTTTTTGTTCCATATCGTTTTTTTTCTGGTCTGTAAGTCAATTCTCAGGCTGCAAGTCAAACCTAAATTTTGAGGTCAGAGAAGTCTGTAACTCAAAAAGTCTGTAAGTCAAGCAGTCTGTAAGTCAAGGGTCCACTGTATAACAGTGCACCTAAGCTCCAGATAGAACTTAGGTAGTTATCAAGTTATCAGGATAACTGAAATCTCCCATTACTACTACAGCATATCTCTTTGAATCTCTTACAATTTGTTTTTCTTGCTCTTTTAAAAAACAACAACAGAGGGCCAGAGAAAGAAAGAGAGAATACTTCAAAAAAAAGAGTGTATTTTCACCAAAATTCTTAAGTGGTGGTTTTTAAAATATGCAATGCTCCTGGATTCTTACTTGTGGTAAATAGCAGCTCCAGTCAATACCATGGAATAGTCGTTTGTCCATTTTGATGTGTATCCCCACCTCTCCTTAGTATTGTCCCAAAAATGGCTGCGAGCCGGATAGCCTACAATCCTTTCTGGGAAACTCTGCCAAACTGTAAAGGCAAAATCCACCTGCAGGCAAGAAAGACCAAAAACACGACATATATGGCAAGCGGTAATCAAACAGTCTCAAAAATGTCAGCAAAACAAAATATTACCTTTTCACTAATTTGTAATTTGCAAATCTTGGAACTGTTGCAAAACATTAATTCTCTGTATTCATCAGCAAATTAAACTGACTGCTTGACATTTTGCCCTGTAATTATGCACATTTTAATGTTTCCCTGTTAACAGGAGCTGAGAGCTCCAGAGAATCATATTAACATTTTTGCAGGCATGACTTCTGCAAAGGAAAACTTGAACAACTAGTAAAGAGAAATTGTATGTGTAGAGGGAATTGTGTGTTTACCAGAATGAATAAGAAAGCTGCAGTTTTTATCCACTTTCATAGAAAGTATGACTTCTTTCTTGTGTTGGCTATGTGTGTGGAACCATTGGATTCAACTGCATAAATGAAAGTAGAATTTTTGCACTTCTGGAGTTTTGTTGTGTGAAGAAATGTACCTTGCCTCAAAAAGTTGCACAAGTGTTAGTCTTTACAGGATGTTTTGTAGAAATAAAGAATGCACAAACCTATGTGTGTACTGTAAAATTAAAATGCTTAAAATGCTTACAACTGGAAAAAAAATACATACAAACATGCTTTAATCAATGGGGGAAAGCAAAAATAGGGCCGAATGGGTGAATAAATACAGACATTAGTCAAATGTGTGAATAAATGTACACATCAGGAAAAACTCAGAAAAATGAATGTGAATGTCAAAGGCCTGTGAAAAGCTCTTGGAATCCGACATGAAACAAAGAGAATGTGGGTGGGATTCAGAGAAACACAGTGAGATTGAAATAGAGAGATATTCATACTCCTATTGCCTACTACCAAGAGGAAAATGAAGGGGAAAAAACCACACAACCTTTTGAATGGAGGGGAATTTCTATACCTAACACCTCTAAAACCTTCCTGCTCTTAAAGCTCTCTTAAGTTAGCTTTAATGGGGTACCAAGACAGATGGTGAAGATGGCATTTGCTACCACCAGTCCTATGATGCACACCTATGATATCTTATGGAAAGCAACAGTTTGATTGTAGTCTTAGCACACAGCTGCATTATGGGGGACTAGGTATCCTTGCAGACACCAATGCTGTCTATAGACTTGACTGGAAGAAGGCTCCAAATTACTATTAAGGGGTGTGTGTGAATATGTGGCCTTCTATACACTGTTGGAATGCAATTCCCATCAGCTCCAGTCTCCCTATGTACTAGGATGGATAGCAGTTGTTGTCCACCAACATCTGGAGGGACATTTCTTCCCTATCCCTGCACTGGGAATACTCGTTTATATCAGCTATAGCATGCTCCATATTTAAATGAAGAAACGTATCCCCCATCTTTCTCTATCCTTGCAAATAATATCAGATCTTTCTAAAATAGAAACTTATTGTTGGAAAGTGAAAGAAAACACACACATCCTCAGTCATGCAGCTTCAGACACGTTCTCCTCTTTCAAGTTCTTTCAAGCACTGCAAAATGCTCCTTCAAGTAGGCGGTTCAAACAGAACAGCTTTCCTTCCAACAATCCTGATCACATCCAAGTCATGAATATGTCAAAGAACCAACTGCCATCTTAAAAGCCATGTGCTATAAAATCTGACATCTGGTTTCTGGAAAGGACAAATGTTAAGCTGCAGAAGGAAGGGCGGTGCTAGCTGTAAAAGCAAGAAGGAAAAGGCCTATATGCGGTTAATAAAAAGATTAATCTTAACCCATGAGCAGAGATTGCAGCCTAGTCACACACCCTGTCTGCCCTCGCTCCAGCATGTGGACAACTAAAGCTACAGAGAAGACCGGTCTGTGTGCATAGAGCATCTCTGTGGGATTGTAACCTTTACACTTATTTTCTCAGAGTCTCTCTCTTTTAGGACAAGGTCACCTTATAAAATATTTTCTTGACTATTATTATTTTTATTCAAAAACATGAGGCACAGTCAATCAAAATTGTAAAAATACTGATTAGTATTATATAACAGATACACGTTTTAACCAAAAATCTAAGTATCTGTTAAATATCAGCACAGTATGTACCAACCTCGCAGTTTGAAAGCATGTAAATACAAGTAGATAAATAGGTACCATCTCGGTAGGAAGGTAATGGCATCCCGTAGTATCTGTTAAATATCGGCACAGTATGTACCAACCTCGCATCCCATGTCTAGTCGTGCGGGCCACACGACCACGGAAACTGTCTACAAATGCTGGCTTTACGGCTTGGAGACGGGGATGAGCACCACACCCTAGAGTCGGACATGACTGGACTAAATGTCAAGGGGAACCTTTACCTTTATGTACAGTATGCTGTTCTTAATACTGCTGGTTTTTTGTAGCTCTGATGATGGATGTGCAACTGCTTATAGTACTTATGTGTAAAATTTCTTGATATTCTTCCCAAAGCCCTAATGACTATGGGGACCACTGAAATGTGCTTCATCCACATGTGAGATGTTTTGATGGCCAGGTCTCTGTATTTTGTTATTGTTTCCAATTCTTTATTTTCAACTCTGGCATCCCCTGGAATTGCAATGTTAATGAGCTGGACATTTCTTCATTCTATTCCCACTATGTCTGGTGTGCTCTGTTCAAGGTGCCTATCAGCTTGAATCCGGAAATCTCACAAGGTCTTGACGTTTAAAAATCTTAATAGTCTCTTGGACTGGTTTGTATCTTTTCCAATATCTTCTAATCTCTCTCTCTCTCTTTCTCTCTCTCTCTCTGGCTGGGAGCAGCAGAGTCAGGGCTGGCTTCCTTCCTTTGCCAATAGTTAAGATTAACCCTTTTACGGCCCCTAATCTATTTCAGTCTATCAAAAGTCCTTTTGAATCAAAGGTCTTGCTGACTTCAATGCATGGCGCAAATATTTCTCTTATACTGAAGCCTGGTAAAGACCATATTAATGGTGTGAATTATAGACTAATCTCCTTAATTAAACAGATGCTAAAATATTATCAGCAGTCTACAATCTACTCTTGTGCTCATTGCCGTTCACAAAGTGATACTAAGAAAAGAAAAATCTCCAAAGCTTCCTCCTTTCATCAGCTAACCACTAACCAGACAAAAACAAAAAAATGTTCATGGCTGTTTTTCAACAAGTGTGAATGGTAGTGAGCACAAGAGGGTATCTTGCCCAGATGTTCTTGGACTAAAACTCCCAGAAGCTTCCACCATTAGCTGTGATGGCACTGATTCTGGGAGTTGTAATCCAGGAACATCTAGGGACATCTTGAGAACCACTGTTATAGCCCATCTTAACTGCTGCTGTAGATGTTGTCAACATTAAGGCTATCCTTTGCTATGTAAAACTTGGCATCCTGTTTCCTGATGGTAACACAGGCATGATATTGGGCTGCAATATCAGGCCATTTCCTGGCATTTTTCATTGTGGATGCAGAAGCACAAAATTCCACATACATAAAACAGAGTGGTTTTGAAGAGCTGGATACTATTAATGCACAGAAAAGAAGCACTGAGGAGGTTCTACCAGGAATTCTGTAACTATCTAAGCATTAGCTTCAGCTGAAGCCAATCCACATACTAGACACTACACAATGGACAGAGAAGCACCATAATCTAAAAGACAACTGCTATATTTACATGTCACCCAACTGCCACCCAGTAAACACTACACAGTCTACTCTCTACATTTAAGTAACACAACCAAATTTGCAGTGACCCATCAAACATGGACCATCTCTGCCTTCAGCTGAAACCATTGCTCTCTGGCAAGCAGAAACCACTGCTTTCGGATATGTGGCAAATGTATGGCATATCTGACATTACCAGTACCCGGAGGTTTATGGTAATCATCTCTTTGAAAACACGTCACCAAGATTTATAACACTATTGTCATTCTTTTCCACCTTATTTCATTTGGTTCCACTTCCATAACCGGAACCTGGGTGGAGATAAGCCCATCAAACCGAGAGCCATTTTCTACCATTATACTTTTTAAAAAGGATCTTCTCCATTTTAGGTGCATTAATCTGCTTATTTACACTTGAGAGTACTTTTCACCAATCAATGAAATTTGAATGACTCTTAATAATTGACATCAAGCTCTCTGTCTGTCATTCCCAGGATTGCCAAGGGCTCTGAATGGCCATTCATTGAGCATCACCATGCCAGGCGTCTTACCTTTCCTTCAAATTTCATACTCCCCTCTCCATTGAGATATAGTCTCACTACTAGCTACACTTCACATGAAGTGGGCTACAGTCCACAAAAGGTCATGGCAGATAAAAAGAGTTAGTCTTCAAGGACTTGCACAACTCTTGTGTTGCTTTTCTCTCAATATATCAACATGGCTTCCACACTGTTAACACATCACCAGTCTTGAGTTGTTTAAAACTTCTCTTGTAATGGACTAGACTCTTGCGGTGTACTAATATTTTAGGAATATAGGACTGAGATTGTAAATGTTCGTACAAAGCATGCATTTTTATTCAGATTGTGCTTTTCCATTTATTTATTTATTTATTTATTTATTTATTTTTCTTTCTTTCTTTCTTTCTTTCCTTCCTTCCTTCCTTCCTTCCTTCCTTCCTTCCTTGCTTACTTGCTTACTTATTATTTGATTTCTACCCCGCCCCTCTAGACAGAGTCTACTTGGGGCGGCTTACAAACAGTTATAAAACATCATAAAATAATCATCGTAAAACAATCACATAATTAAATCAACACATTTAGAAGTTCAAGATGGAGAAAAAGGAAAACCAGAGAAGAAAAAAAATCAAGTGTTGACTGGAGGGAGGGCCTGCCTAAAGAGCCAAGTCTTTAAATGACTCTTAAAAACACCCAGCAAGGGTGCCAGGGTGATTTCCGACGGCAAGGTGTTCCGTAGTTGATTATGCAACTTGTATTATATCATGTTTTGCAATGGCAAAACATTGCCATTTGATTGCAAGCAGTAAACTCATTTGTTAGTCAGTTAGATGATGGTGTTCAGGTGGGAGATTCATGTTT